TTTACACAGTTCTATTATTGGGAGAGGTCACTAGAGAAAAATAATTTCATCTCAATGTCTTTTCCACCCTTTTTGGAGAAGGGAAGGGATAACGTTAAGCAAGGCAACCGTTAATTTCAGGCAACAGATCTTGGCTTTCCTTACATGTGTCTCAGAGTTTTAATGTTGTAAGCTAATGTGGATAAAAAGGAAGCCTAAAATGTCAAGAGCCCCTCTTACTTTTCAACATATTTTGTGGTTGTTTATGGATTATTGTGCTAGCTAAGTGTAAAATACTGTCTTGTATTTCCTAATTGTGTTTAGAAACAGAAAACACCAAAGTCTTTAAGATTGCTTCATTTCCTTAAAGAAATAATAGCAGGTTTTTTGGTATGATATAGTTTAAACAATGACATTTTCTTGGGACATCTGTTTTGAGATCACTTTTTGAATAGATATGAACTCATTTCCTACAAAGAAAGCAATTTACTATTGTTGATAGCTGTTTACAAGTTCCATGAGTCAGATATTAGCTAGTGGCAAAGGTCCTCTCAAATCCTTGGAGTATTCCTTAAACTGTGTACATAGTATTTTAAGCATATAAAATGTTAAGGGAAGCAAAATTACAGGGACTTTTCCTACTAATTTACAGTAATTTGAGGCTAGCTCAGAGGAATGATTTAAAATGTATTTACCTGTAAAAATTTCATTCCTTTTGCTCCTCTTTGTTAATGAAGTATTACAGTAATCACAGTTAAGTGTTTAAAAACAGTGAAACAACTGAGATGCTTACTGTACTTATATTTTTGGAGTATAAAACTCAAATACAGAATCTGTACATAATTTACTTGCATTAAAATAAAATTATTACTGATCATAATAATAGAAGATATGTTCATATAGCAAACAAACAGAAAAAAAAAACATGTCAAGTCAATTTAATGTTTGACCTTGTAAATTTTCTTCTTTTAATCCTGCATTTATAAGAGCATAATCCTAGAAGCAGTAGAGTTTTGAATGCCGGTTTACATAGATAGTTCTTTAAACAAACAAACAAAAAATTATCTGGCCTGCATGTTGTGTCTAGAGTTGCCACTAAAAAGAATCCAGGACATTTTTCCTTCTTATCTGCAATGTAGCTCATATCAGCCACCCTGTCACAAGACAGTACTTGATATAAACAAGAGATTGCAAAGACATCTCAGTAATCAATATTAGGATGGCTACAGTATGGAAACTCCAACCACTGCATATCATTTGTCTCAGCATCTATTTCTATGACCAAATGAAGCATTAATTCAAATCATAAATCTATGGTGATTTAAATCTGGGAATGAGCACCTGCCTGCTTTAATGATTTATTTTGTACATTTCAGTAAGCAGGAGATTTGTCCATATGAACTGACAGGTCACCTTCAGATGCCAGTAGCAGACTGTTTATCACCATGCAGACTAGCATCTCATCTTAGCAAGTAAATATTAAACTAAAAGAATCCAATTGATTGTGGATGGGGGAGAAAGGCGTAGCTGCCATATATTTTACTCAGTGTGCTAATACCTCACTTTGATTCCTCCATGGTTCCTTATTTTTTCTCCTAAAATGACAATTCTGGTGGGAGGATGCAAGCTCAAGGTTACCATGTAAAACTGAAGGATATAAAATAATTACTTATTAGTATCATTGACTTCCTTTAATTTTTTACTTGTTAGCCTTTTGACCATTGTTTCAAAGGACCAGTTAATAACTTTCTGTAGTGCTGTGGATAACTGCAAAATATTCAGCCACAAAAATGACTTTTATAAGTCATATAAAGTGTCTGATTAAAACCAATAAAGCAAGACAATTCCAAACTAAAACTAACAATTCAAATTGGGACTTCATGCTTCATTTTGCTTACTTTGCATAGGTACTGTAGGAGCCTGAGAATCCATGTATATTAAATATGCTATAATAGACAATATAATGGAATAAATTACTTTGTTTAGTGCTTTAACTCTGAATTTTCTTGCTTTTATATGTGTTTAGTCAGGTGCATCATATACACTTAAAACGTAGACTGTGATCAAATTATTTTTATTCATCTTTTATCCCTTCCCCCCCCCAGCCCTCAATAATATGTTTAAAATGCAAGTTCAACCACATATATTGTAACTCACTAATACTGTATGTATCTAATATTCTTAATTAGTTCCAGATGTCTAGATAAACAAAATATTGACTAGATATGTAATGATAACATTTTAAAATACAGGTTCTGGTTATAATGGGGGAGATTTTCAAAGGCACACATGGCAACTAGGCACCTAATCCCACTGACAGTCAATCTGAGTTAGGCTACTGCCTTCCATTTGTGCCTCTAAAAGTTTCCCTCAGTAGTTATAATAGTTCTGTCAAAGCCTGCTTGATATTTCTTAGCATAGCTCCATCTAGGAGCATCCATCAGGCCAGTGCAACTATCACTGACACAAGAGTATAATGGCTATTTTTAAGCCATTATGGTTTATTCTGATGACCTAGTTAGAGATTTTTTTATCTGTAACTGATTGATCTAGTATAATTATTAGTTTTTATTTCTATACATCCGTAAGTGTATATGATGCTATATACTAGGTGAGCCATGCTAAACAGTAAACACAGTCCTGAACCAAGAGGCCCTGAGCAATTATAATATAGCAGATGATAGTATAACCCAAACAGGCATAATACACTCGCGGAGATTTTCTTGAATACATGGGAGAAATTAGAATGTTACTATTCATTGCAACAAGGTTTCATTCAGTACTTAGGTAATGCTGAGTGGCTAATCAGTGTAACCCACACATCTTACTGAAACCCTAAGCACTGGCAGGAGCCTCCCGCGGGGCTGTAGCACCGAGCCCCATCACTTTGCAGCAGGGCAGAAGCCTCGAGGAGAAGTGCCCGTCTCTCGAACTTCTGAAGATTATCATATGCATCTGGGAGGATTAGTAAGTTTGGCCACGTCTGCTTTATATATATAGTAGTACATATTTACTACAGAAATAACTTGACTATGCTTATGAATTGATCACTTTTGATTATCATACTAAAAGTCTATAAATTTTGCTTCCATATTTGCTAGGTTTTAGGTATAAAAATTCATTTTTTAAATCCAGAATCGTCTCCTCAACTGTTGTGCGAGAGAAGATGTATTCTGTTTACTTTGTTCACTATTACTAACTTCTACAGTGCCATAGGCATACAAGAACTTCGTCTCTAGAACTGCTAAACAGGATTAATCCCATAGCATAATATTTGAACGTATTACTTCATATAATGAATGCATCTGAGTCCTGCATTCAAGATCCACACATGTTTCTACATCTGTTACTGCCTCTTCTTCCTGCCAGCTGGTAATGCTACCCTCACATTCTTCCTCACTGCCCCATTTTTCCTCTGCTTCTCTGAGGGCCACCTGCTCTCCCCAGTTCACTGTTGCATCTCCCCTGCTCTCAGATTTCTGTTACTGCCTTCCTCTTACTCACCCCTGACATCCTGCCAAGAAGACAGGTTGTTTTTTCCCCTCCTTACAGTTTTGGTAATTGCTGGTATTTCAGTGGCTAGCACACTAGTTGGAGCCTCCTTCTTCCCTGTCACTGGAGAAGCTTTCCAAAGTGCTGTGGTGGTTTTTCTCTACTCCTAGAGCAGTACTTTATTTAAAAAAACTGGCACTCTCTTGATAGGAATTTTCAAGTATACAGTTTGTTGTTGTTGTTTAAAAAAAAAAACATGGCCAGAGTGTTTTGGCCCTCCAGTCCACATTCTATCTATATTTATATACGTAGACTATAAGTACATGCAGAAATATACAGAAAGAGTAGTCACCTACTTTTATTTTTAATGAAAGAAATGCCCCGCCCCTGAAATCAACAGGGGGTGAGCTTTGATCCATCTGCAGTGGAAGTATGCCGTGCAGAAAGAGGGAATATGAGAAAGCATGTATGGCTGGATGCTCCCACCTCGGGTCCACCACCTTCCCATTGGCTGGAGATGGGAGAAAAGTCTAGCCCATTGGCTCTTGTGGGCTTCCCTAGGCTCTTCAAAAGACTCTTGATCTGGTTAGCAGCCACTTTTATTTATAGTTAGTGAAGGAAAATAGACACCTATTTATCCTTAAGAGTAATCTCAAAAGGTATGATGAATACGGGGAGGGGAAAGGAATGTACTGAACCATCGAGAGCCATTTTATTTCTATATATGCTTATCCTGAGTACAGTATTCTGAACGCACATTTTAGTCACTGAATTACTACTGCTGAGTTATCTTGTTAGTACTGTCTCAACGTGATAAAGGGAGTCAGTCCAATAAAAAGGTATAACAAACCATTTTATTGCCGAGATATGCATATGATTTAGTCAACAAAAGAAGTTACTCTAGCTTTGAAGTGTGCTTTATCAAAACAAACTCGCCAGAGAAATGCATATAATGTATTGGAAGAATTCCTTTTTCGAAAGAACAGGAGTTGCTGATAATTGTTTAAGAAACAGAAAAAAGCAGTAAACAACATTTTAAGAATGTGTTTATTAAAATAGGAGAGTAATTGTAAAGCATGGTAATAATTTATTGTGTATGTATGTTTTCCTTTTATCACAGGGCACCTGAATTTGTGAAATATTTTGCTTCCAAGCAACTGTTCTGAATTACCTAAAGTCAATACCCAATAGAGTGAGTAGGAGACATGGTTAAATTTCCCTCTGACACCTTCATCTGTCACCATACCTGTACTTTGAAAAATGAACTCTTAGCAATCAAACTGCTTTCTTTCATGGAAAATATTAACTGGGGTCTGAAGTAGCATCCTACAAAGGAAAGGATGTTCTTATAATAGTAACAACAATGCTGAATGCTCCTGTAAAGGTCAGCTACAAAAGTGGCCTGCAAATGTGCCAGTTCTTTCCAAAATCAAAGAAGGTTTAATGGTCCGGGGGGGAGGGTATTATTGTAGTAAGATATTGATACATTACTGGCATGTATGTATGTAATGTTGACTTCCGAAACTTACCAACACTTGAATTCAGATCTCCATTTTCAGATTCTGCTCCATGTTGGTTATTACTGGCATGATAGTTGGACATAGCTTCTAATTTGATTTTTTTCACTTTCATTGCTTCTGCTATGGCTGCATTGGTAGCAGCTGCTGCTGCTGCAGCTGCTGCTGTCAGACCTACAAAGAAATATGAATGAAACTTAATATACATTATACTATGACTCTTCATTAGTGTTGGGCTTGAAACTGTTACTCTTCCTTCATCATTTACTACATAATTAGCAGAGAATAATACTGAATAATATTCATCCTTATTTGCTTGGGAGATTGTTTACTTTTTAATGTAAAATGCATAACATACTATGTAAATAGTTACTTATATACACGTGAATTCACAAAATTGGTCTCTAATTGCTTTAGTCAGAATACAACTGCAGCTACAAACATACTCATTTAGAAGCCTAGCTTTGCCAGCAAACCATGTATTTAAGTGCAAATGTGGGTGTAAATAAATATACCTACAATAAACTGTGGATGCAAAACTACACTTGAAACATTGAAGGACAAGCTAAAAATCAGGGCCATAGAGTTTGAATAGCATATACATGACTAATAAGTTATATTCACAATTAAGCCATTCTTCCTGAGCTCACATAAAATTCCAAATTACTCTAGCAGTATAAATGGGTCATACTAAAACAGCCATAGCTTTCTTAAAGGAAAGGTTAGCTATGTAGATCATATCTATATAATTATTTACAATCCTACAAGCAGGCTTAGACCTCAAGGCCTCTTCCAGAGATACCACACACAAAGTGTGTAACTCCTTTAATTCCCAACCACCCTCCTACAACCCAAGTTCTACACCTCCTATCACAAATTCTCCATCTCCAGACTAAATCTCTGCATTCAGCTATATTTGTGAAACACTATATTGTAATAATGAGCTGGTACTGATACTGGTGATGAGCCTCCTGTCAAGAATGATTGGTAGAACTGCCCAATTTGCTTTCATCACACCACATTCAGCCTTCATCCAGTGCCCTGCGTATGAGGCAGTGCATAGCTGCATCAAGCCATGAGAAGCCAAGGGGAGAAATTTTAATTCACAGACTCACAGTTCCTCTCCTGTTCCCCTCTTGCTTCTGCAAAGGGAAAATTTTGCCACAGCCTCTACCAATGGCAGTATGCTCACAGTTCTTTTGCAACAACCCTCTTCTTCTGTGTAGTGTGCTGGAGAGTGGTGGGAGGCACAGATCTGTCCACTCCTTACCTCTCTCCATGTATGTGGTTCCTCCCAACCCCACCCTGGATCTAATAGGCAGAGATGGGGGTCTTACTCCCCCTTAGCAAAGCAAAGGTACTACAGGGTTGGGCTTAGCGTCCCAGCACCTGGAAACAAGTGATGAGGGCAAAATCTCAGTTGTTCTTTTTAAGTAAGTTTTGAGCCCTCCTGGATGCAAAGAAAAGCATCCAAGTTTAACTAGTACAGTGATGTTTGCCTGAATCTGCAGACAGCCTTAAACTATTTCTCTGAGGTGTGAACTGCTTCACACACCTCAAAAGGTAGTTAACTCTACAACTCACTACTCTGGGCAGGAGGGTCGGGGGGCAGCACCACCACCCCAGCAGAGGGATCTGTGTGGCCAGAGGAGAAGAGTGCAGTAGAAGCCCAGCCTACCTGCCCAAGCAAGCAGATAACCCCTGCCTGCTGAAGTAAATATTGGAGAACCCCCTGCTGCCACCACTGCTGTTTCTGATGAGGGGTCTCCTGCCTCCTCGGTGGGAAGAAGGGAACCCCTATAGCCACACCTGGGTTAATAGGCCAAGCGGGAGCCTGCTGGATCTGCTGGAATGAGAGAGGAAGTGATCCCATGTTGCTGTCCCTGCCTCTTCAGACTGGGGGATGGGGACATAATAGGAGCCAGGACCATGAGTGCCCTGTGTCATACTGTGTCTAGGGCTCTAGATTGCCTTAACTCTTATTCCACTGCATGTAACTGAGGGCCAGATTGTGGCTAGCCCTAATTTCCTGACAAACCTTTAATGCCTCCAAGTGTTGCTGGAATTATAAATTACAACATAATTACTTTCTGTACAGTTATACCAATGTTAGTTACAAAATTGCTATTTAGGCAGTAGGAAAGGGTTCAAAAGTCAAATATCAAAGAACAAGGTGAACAGACATAAACCTATTTTAATATTTACTACTATTATGAAGCTTGCATATTCAGATCTGACTAATACAATAACATAGATGCTTTTCAATGATATTTTTATCTTAGGGGAAGGATATGATGATATGCATTATGCAGATTTAGTTAGGGGTTCCTAAATTAAGCCAGAGAAAAGAGATGATGCATCTCTGAACTTACATTTGTATCCTGTGTTTGTTATACAGCACAGTATCCTATGCTTCCTTTTTCTTAATACCATTGTCAAGCTATAGCTAGCATCTTTAAAGAATGATCCTTTACCAGAAATGTCCAAATACAGCATACCTAATGAATGTAAACTTTCTTTTGCATCGGAATACCCCAATATACAACCCTATTCTCTTCCAATGCTATTCTCTAGAGTTGGCCAAGGCTTTTGTATGAGGACTAGAAATCTCAAACACATGCTGTTGAGCTGTTAAACTGCCATTACCAAAACTCTGCTTGTGGTAATATTTTTCTCTTAAAAAGGAAAAAAAAAATAAAGAGAGGAATTGAACTCCTATATTCATTCTCCCTCTTGCACAGCTGACTGAAACAGGAACACTTTGCTAATTTAAAGCGTGAACCTGCTACCGAGTCAAATTCATTTCACCCATGTAAACCTTGAAATAACAGGTTAGTGCAGATGAATGCACAGGATTCAGATGGGGAGGGGGGATCCACTAAGTTGGGGACAGTGCTCAAGACTGCAGCACAGTCTGTCCCCTAAATAATTCCACGCTAGCACAACTACTCCTGTGTGTCACTCTGCTCTCCACACCTTTCATAACCACAATATGGGACATAAGTGGCATGCAAGATCCTGAGCCAGCCATCTGCAGCATGATATATTCTGACCACAGTTACAAGACAAGGTCTCTCCCCAACAGAGGAACCTATTTATCTCAAGTCCTCTCCAGAGAGGACTCTCAAATGTACTGTAAAGGGCAGAGAGCACAATTCCGCAAAATAGCAGCTACTATTCCATTCTTTGAAGCTCTGAAAATGTGATTCAAGCTGAGTCAAGAAATGTCTTAAATCATAGTTTAACTCTCCCCACCCCCCACCAAACTAAACACTATTGAGTATCACTACTCTCTTACATCAAGCTGCCTGGGAATTTCCTAGCCATGCAGAGATTAAAGTAATAGTACAGTATAGTACTTTCGCATTTTTCATTATGCAAACTGCATCTCTGAAAATTAGATGACCAAATGTCACCTTTAAAGGCAATTTAAAATGGAAAAGAACTATACTGGATATTCAATAGCTCAGATAATAAGTTACTTTACTCTCTGTTAATATTTGTTTGAAAAGTTAAAGAAACATGTCAAAATACTCAGTAGACTCCAGTCCATGGTAGTTATCATTAATATTCTAAAATTGATAAGCTGTTTATGTCTGGCATTCTTCCTGCTGATTATTCTGTAAGACAGGCAGCTTTATAACTATCTCATCACTCCACCGTCACACAAATTTCATCGACAGTGCTCATGCACAGCTATTAGCAATATGAATCTAACCATTACAAGAGGGAGGAAAATCGAACATGTGGCATTAATACGCAGTCCTGCTTCCTAACCATCTGATAGGCAGATGGTGTAAAGCGGATTCTCCAGCTGAAATGAAGGGGGACATCATTTAAAACCTTGTTTGCATTCTAACTGATATCAGTGCCATATTGATATACATGATACATCATGGCAGGATTTGAACAATCTAGTTTGTTTCAGTCATAAATGTTTACAGCCTTGTTTTTTATCTTTAGAAGCATGTTTTGAAGAGCGTATTTTTAATTTATGAAACCTATTGTTTACTTCTGTTGAACCAGAAGATTAGCAAGGAGCAGGAATATTAAATTACCACAACCACAGCAATATAACTAAGATGGATGAATAAAGTATGTTTTTTTCAATAAAAGATGTTAGTAAAGGAATTAAAAAATTAGCCTAGACATTTTATGCATTAAACACATTTATTCATTTAAACCTTCTAGCTTTTTTTTCCCATGAGACATACTTAGAAGTTTAATGCTTTACACAGCTATTCATTTAAAGCTCTCACTGTGTGCAATTAATCTTGTCCAACAATTTAATTCAAAAAGCAAAACATCAAAAAGTAAAGTTCAATTCAACAATCATGGTCCTGAAGTAATCTCCTTGCTACTGACAGTTCCTATAGACTCATCTGCAAAAGTCTGTTCAAGGTGTCGTGTAAGAGCTGTGTGAGCTTGAATTATAACTCAATTGAAAGCTCTGCAAGCCTCAGTAGGAACTCACAACTTAACTTTGGCTAGAAGCAGACCACCAAAAGAAACAGTGTGAATGATCTCTTTCTACAAAGCCCTTCTCCTTTCTGCCACTCAAATGCTGATCATCAGTACAATTTTATGTTCTTGCAATCATACATATTTTAAAATAAGCATATTTGGAAAGAGATACATTCCAATAATTATACAGTTTGTAATTGCTGTCATAATTATGCAACGTGTTTTAAAAACATAATAAATTTAAATGCAATTTTAATTTTTAATCCATACTGATGCCAAAGTTATTTGGAAAATCTCTTACCTAAGTGGGGTAAAGAGGGCTGGAAACTGAGAAATTAGCTGCAATATTTATTTGTATTATTAACTAATTAAACCATCCTTGGAAGAAATAATTGCCATTTCCTGGTTTCTGGGGGAACACATTATAATCTCCCTCAGTGTTCCTAACTGGTTTAGAACAGCAATTCACAGGACTGGACAAAAGGGGAAGGTGCAGAAATTTAAATAGTCATATTTGGCACATGGCTCTTATAAGCAAAGGTTATGGAACAATTCAGACAGTCACTAAGGTTTTACAGGGAGCAGTATCAGAGTACATCGTTTTTTGTTTGTTTTTTTTCAAAATTCAAGCACAGAGCTGGAAAGGATGCATTTGACATGCAGGATTGGTACCAGGTTGCAAGAGACATGTTTTGTCATTGGGTAAAAAGGAAAAGTATCACTTAGTGAAAGCTCAGTTTTCAGCTCAGTAAAAAGGAAGCCATGGAGTCACAGCATATTCCACAGTCTGGTGCTCAGCATTTGTCAGTACTTGGGGCTTTAAGGGTTTGGTGTGCTGTGCAACAGCTCGGCCGCTTTGGCCTGCTGGGTGTTTGTAGCTGTTCAATATCTTAACCAAGGTGCTTTTTAGTGCTTTTACCAAATATAATCAGCAGCATTTTCCTGCCAAATTCTGGTCTCATTTACACCCAGGCAACTCCACAGAAGTCAGCAGAGTTTCATGGGTGTAAACGAGACCAGATTTTGGCCTATTACATGTGGGACTCCAGGGCCAGAAATGAATGAACCAAGCCAAAGCCTTCAGAATCACTTCTTCCTGGCAGGAGACCTTGGAAATGCAGTTTACCTTCTCTAGCAAGATGCTCAGGAGAACAGCCCACTGTGCTGGCAAGAAGACATCCCAAACCTGTGAAAAAAATGCAGAAATTGGGCTTGTTTGATTTAACTGGCTTGTGAGTTGGTTGTTGGCTAGTTTTTGGCTTTTAGCTTGTTGGGCTTGTAGCTTGTTGCTTGTTGTAGCTTGTTGCTTCTTTTTTTGATTGGCTCCTGGCAAGCAGGGGCAAGGGGGGAGGGAGTCAGGGGTGCACAGAGGGCCCACCACAGTCCTAGACTGCATGCCAGGGGTATCTAGTCACATAAAGTATTGGGGTTCTTAGGGATTGGCTTGTTTTGGCCTTGTTTTGAAATGGGATTAGCCTGGTTTTTGGCTTATTGTGAAAGTTGGGGTGCTTATTTACCGCGTGAAGGTTGGCAACTGTGCTGGCAAGTTTATTCAAGAGTATCCAAGTTGATACCAGTGATGATGTCTGACGCAAGCTACTGCCCTCCCACATGTGCTCCTACCTGCTTAGGAAGTATTTATCCAAATTCTAGTTTTGGCAATGTGAGCAGTTATTAACCAATCAAATCAGTAAAAAAATACCAGGACTGTATGTACACACATATACACACACTGTTGCTTGGGCATACCGCACATTCAGTATACTCGTATTCATCTGAGTAGTCTTCGCACACATACTTCCAGCAAACTCAGTGGGACTACTAGTGGCAATACCGTTTGGGTGACTAAGGATTCCAGAGTCAAGCCGTAAAGTAATAACTGACAACGGACTCAAACAGACATACAGCACAGCAATACAGATTTGTTTATGGAAGTTTACAGAATCATACTGAAATACTGTTTCTGTTATACAAGACAGGTAAATGAATTGTGTAATTGTTGGTGTCTCTTCTTTACAGGGCTGGCTCCACCCGCCGAACAGGGAGGCGAAATCCTGCCCACCGAACACGGAGGCGGAATGATGGTGCGGCCGCCAAATTGCCACCGGCGACCGAAGAAATGTTACGTCCGCACTGCCGAATTGCCGCCGAGCCCAACCTCCTGCCACCCCTTTACATTTGCCGCCCTAGGCACCTGCTGGGTTCACTGGTGCCTGGAGCTGGCCCTGCTTCTTTATTACATGACCCTTTCAATTTGCTAATTCAAAAGGTTTCTTTTGGGGGTTTGTGGTTTGTTTGTTTTTTAGTTTACATCCAATTTTTGTAGGGTTTGGTTTGGTTTTTTTAGCATTTTCATGCCATCTCACCTTGGGCAACACAGAACAAGGAAAAAGCTAAAAAAAAATTGTCAATGGCTGGTGTTACATTTCATTTCCTCTATTTGCTGGAAAGTTCATTTCAGCATACAGAAATATTTTATCTATCTTGTGGGAAGAAATCCAAATTTTTTCTAAGTTCCGATAGAAGCCTTTTCAGTATTTCAAATTAATACTTAATCCTTTTTCTTTAAGTTTATTTCAGCTGCACTGACTTGGAAATAATTAATGTCTTTTCTTGACCTAATTTTGGACTTGATCATGTAGGCGGTAGTCAGGCACAGTGGTAGTTTTGCCTCAGGAGGAAATGCAGGACTTAAGTCTATGGGCTTGATCCTGAGCTTACTGTAGTTAATGGCAAAGCTCCCATTGACTTCAGTGGTGCAGGTTGAGGCTCTAAGGATACATCTACGCAGTGAGCAGCAGCCCATAACAACAAGCCTCAGAGCCTGGGTCAACAGACTTGGCCTCTCAGGGCTTGTGCTACAATGCTAAAAACAGCTGTGTAGACATTGTGACTTGAGCTGGAGATCGGGCTCTGAATTTTGAGCCTGAATTCTAGTCAGTCCCAATGTCTACACAGAGCTGTAGCACAAACCTGCAAGCCCGAATCTATTAACTCAGGCTCTGAGACACACTGCCACTCACTGTGTAGACGTACCAAGTGACCTATTATCCCAATCCCAACTGAAGAGCATGGGAATTTTTCCACTGATTTTGAATGAAGCACAATCAGAAACTTAGGCTCTTATGTTCTGTGATGGAGGACACTTAAAACAATGGGGGATCCGCACTAGGACAACAGTCTGACTACACAGAACAGGTTGCAGAATGGGAAGCCTTAGATTGTACTCAAATGTTCTGTTAAAATACAATAAATCTTAGCAGAAGTTTTTTTTTTCACTTCAAATTATTTAGACAGTTGGTTGGAATTTAAGAGTAATCCACACTTCTTATTTTTGTTAAACGTTATGGATCAGTCCAACCTAAGCCAACAGTCTTTGCACACCCAAAACTCCCATAACTACAATTTCTGAGTGATCAAGGAATTCTCCATCAGACTCTATAACTATACATTCCCCCTGTTGGATTTACATTTCTTACAGCTCATACAATCGGTTTTCAAACAGTTAAAAAATGACTGCTGTAGTAATTAGAGAGAAACGATGACTAAAAGGTTAATAATTAGTATCTTACTTAAATTTCCACAGCGAGTGTTTAGAGTATTCAATCAATTGTTAAAATTCTACAAATTTTAGGCCAATTCTCAACTTGTGTACACTGAAGTAACTCAGTGAAGTCATCAGACTTAAAAAAATTGCTGTAAGTGAGATGAGAATCAGGCCATATGTTTTTAACCACAACTAATCAAGTTTTTCCTGTAACTATATTTAAGTTGCATTATGAATTTTGATGCATGGCTAATGCATTTAAAACAAACAAATAAGGCAGAAAAGAGTTGAATGTCAACAACTAGGCTTCAAGGTTTCAAATCTCCTTTTGCTTTCAGTCATCAAGTGTCCAAACAATTAATACTACGATAGAGAAATAGATAATTTTAATTTAGAAGTGAGCAGTTACCACTTTAAGGCCATCTTGGTCCCATCCAGAAATCCGTATAGAAGGATATAGGGAATTTTGCTTAAAAATAGTCAGGAGAGCATGCCTTTATATATATTTTAAATAAAATTGATAGAAATGTTAAGATTTCATTACTTGATCTGAGATCTTTATATAGCTCTTGCTGTTCATTTGTTAAAAATAGGAGCTACTCAGAGAAAAATTAAATTATTCAGCAAATAAAGTGAAAACCTCATTCCCTCATCAGTAGTATATTCCATTTAAAGAATCAATGGGCAGTTATTCCCAAAAATTGTTCAGTTTTGTGATTTCATTGATTTGTATTCTTAAAGTAGAAGGGGAAATCATCAATTACAATACCATAATAAATACTGAAGGTTTTCAGCTTTAACATTTTTTTGCAATCTGTGAACTTGATTTTAGTTCAAAGTATTTTTGGCAGAATTAAACAATATAGCATAGATGTGTTGGCCTAATTGTTACTGAATTTTCTTAGAACAGTTTGAAATCCTGCTGAAGTGCATACAGAATCAAAACAATACAAGTAAGTGAGAACATTTTTTCTCTTAAACAACAGTCATCTCTTCAAAAGCAATAGATTCTCAGTCCTCATTCAATCTGTTGCATTATTCATTTCATGTGCAACCTCATGCCGGACCATAAATTGTTACTTTATCTAATCAAAGGAGACTTAACTCTACAGAAGGTCAAAGGTTTAATTTTGTGAAGTATTATCTTACGCTCTGAGTTTAACTGAAAAATAGAAGAAGAAAAACAGCCAAGAAACTGGTAATAAATGAACCTTTATTGCCTCAGGCATTGGCCTAGTTAATAAACTTTCATTGAAGGTTTCTTTCAACTGTTATGGACAATGAAGTAAAAAAAAAATCTTAAATTACAGCCATGTGTGACTTTTAAAGCAGGCATTCTTTTTTATCTCAACCTCCCTAGCTTAGAAAAAAGACAAAGAGATTGTCTTCAATTTCTTAACCAAAAATGTATGCTTCTAAACAGATGAAAAAGTGCAGATAAAACCTTTGTTAAAAAAAAAAAAAAAAAAAAAAAAGGTCAGCTTTGAACAATATAAAAAATGTTTTTTGTAGGTGTTGAACCCTGGTCCACAATCTCTTTACCCAAATGTTTTATAAAATTTCCAAAAAAATAAAGTGCTGTTTATACATTGACACAGTGATGTTAATAGACAAATTTTCTGTTTTACATTTGCATTGTTAGAGCACAATAATAGCTTTTATTTAACAAAACAATTTCTTATGGGAACAACTTCTCCATAAATGTTGCAAACAGAAGTTCCTCACTGATTTTTTTGTGTGCATTCTGTCATGATTTCATCGTACTATTCTTTCTTTTACTACTGGTTAAAAACATGAATATCATAATAGAGATACAACTGAAATTATTGACATGCAATGAATTTTCTTGATTACAAAACATTCTTACATTTGACTAACTGCAGCACTTTCTTTAACTGAGTCTAGTTTAAAAATATATTTCATTTATACTTACACAGTCAAGGAGATCAAGAAAAATCAAAAGGATTTAATAAAACTCTTTAACTTTAGTCTAATTTCTAGCTACATGGACATAATTAATTAATTGTAACGTTGCTACAATTCAAAAATACTGAAAGGACATGTTCATGCCTGTAACAGCAGTAATGTAGCTAAATACTCAATCTTTCAATCACCAGGAGCTTTTGTCGTTTTTTTTAACGTAGTCCACAGTTTGACACAGATCCTGGGGTAATGGTACACAGTTCTTTGATTAACTAATATCTAAATATCACTGAGGCAGCCTGGTGGCCCAGTGGAAGTATATCTCCCAACAATTTATGGGCTCAATCCCACAAACACTTAATATATGTGAGTAACTTTATTCACTTGAGTAGTCCCATTGACTGTAATGGGACTACTCATATGTGTAACATTTAAATTTAAATTACTTATTTGCATAAATGTTGGTAGACTTAGGGCTGGGATTTTAGCTCTGGACCACAACATACCAGTCCTGGATTTTGTAGCACGCAGTTGGCCTCATTATATGCAATGGGGCTCCATACTGAAATAGCAGCCCCCACACACACATCTACACAACGTAAAATCAGGGTCAAAACTACTTTTTAGTCTTTAAGGAAAGTTACAGAGTATTTCTAGTTAAACCATACATAAGGACGGTCAGCTGCAAAAGTTCTTCAGGGTCTTGCCCTTCCCAA